AGTGGCGGCGGCAGGGATAGAGGGAAGGGAGAGAAAATGGGTTGAGAAAGAGAGAGAGAGGCGAGAGAATGAATTAATTAGGGTTTGAAAATTGATTTAAATAAAAATTAATTTAAAAATTATTAATTTAAACCTGATTTATATATTATTAAAGATGATTTTGGATTTATGAAAATGGTATTTTAAAAACTTGTGTGGGTGTAATTTCCTCTTTTAAATTTATATATCCTGTGTAGAGCCCAATGACGATTATATTTTTCATTTTTATTCTACAATAATGAGAATCAAGTGGCCCATTACTAATAAAAATATGAATTAACATAATGGCACTATTGGTCCTCAATCCATTGCATCAGTGCCACATTGACCTTCAATCTTTAGAAAAAAGCTAATTAATCTTCAACCTTCCACTATAATTGCACAATTTGTCTTTGACGACACAAACTATCCAAATGTCTATTAAATTGTTATGTGCATGCCCGACTTTATAAGTTCATATTTTTCTTTTCAACTTGGAATAGTGTCCAGAAATTTGAATCTAATCATATTTTCATGCATGTCCTTAGGATTGTTTTTGTCATCATAATTCAATTTATTTCTTTAATGTAATAATAAATAAATCTTCTAGACCTCATATAAAAAGATCATAAATAGAGATTCAAGCCGTCGTTAATCATTGGCCAGAAGATAAGTAATATCATTCATTCACATTCACATCCTAAATGTTTAGAATTTGCTTTTGTTGATTCAAATTGAAGGGTTATATAAAATTGTTCTACTTTCGACCGTCATAGTTATTGATGTTTTCGAGTGAAAAAGTCGTCGCTCCATGAAAAAAAGGATAACATTTGATATTTTTTGAGAACGTTAACTGATTCTTCCGATTAAAAAAGTCATCGCTCAATGGATAAAAGGATAATGACCTAATCTTCTTGAAGAGCATCTACTAAAGCCAACTTGTTAGTGAAACGATAAGTGGGTGACTAATTTGCAATTTTTTCCAAACCTTAAGCACTCGAGGACAAATTAATAATACCTTCACCTCTCAGACTACATCTGGGATACTCGTACTCGCTTTGCTTCCTCCTCCTTCCATGCTTTTCAATCCTCACACAGTGACGCATATACATATACGTAGACATATAATATATATCTATATATACAAACAGATACGGATAACATCTGCAGATCTTGAATTTGTGAGTGTTGATCTGTGGTGAATTTTAGAGATAGAAAATGGAGAGAAGGTCTAGCGCGATTCAGCTGTGTTTTTGTTTTACGATCTTCCTCTTCATCGCCACCGCTCACTGCTTCTACCTTCCAGGCGTTGCTCCCCAAGATTTCCTCAAGGTAACTTCTATAAACGCAAATATAAATCTATATATGCGTCCGCGGTTGAAGATTGACTAGCATAATTGTAGAGCTTATTTTTATAATTTTTTAATTGTCTCAGTTATATGTGTTTGGGCGAGCTGTGCATGTGTTAAACTCGTGATTTTTTGAATGGATTTTATAGATTATAATAAGAAATGATGACTTTTATGAATATTTGTGAATTTTATCAAGTGTCTGTCCTTTAATTTAGTTGTTAAAGGACATGTTTCTCTCAGATCTGTAATTTTTTAACTTATTTTTGACAAGTTTTCTGTGAGGTATGCAGTATTGCAAATATTCTTCAATACATTGAGATCTAAATATTTTTCATAACCATTTAAATTATTTTTACACGTCTTTTTGAATTTAATTAGGGTACTCAGTTAGGTGAAACACATGCTTTTTGCGTAAGAAATGATGCATTGATGTTTATTTTTTAACTACTATGGCTACTATATTCGTATAACGTTTCTACATTGATGCTCATGGATTGATCTGATAAGTGTTAATTCAAGGTAGAATTTTTTGTTTGATTCTAACTGTGGTGAAAATGATGTTGCCATAACTCAAGAAAATGAAACTAAATTGAATTGCGCCTGTTATGTATCACATGGGACATAGGGTGACAAATTACTACTACCTTGATATTTTGACCATTTTTGATCTGGATTGGGTGTGATTTGTAAATATAAATATTGATGACCCATGCTTGGATCATATGAGTAGAATATTCCTTATTTGTCGTGTACGATCCTCAAAATTGGATGTTGATAAAATATAGAAGATAGACAGAACACCAATCATTTACATGGTATGACACTTGACTTAAGCCCATGGACAGAGACGAGAAGAATTTCTCTAAGGAAAGTTCAACTCCAGCAAAAAAATAGCTCTCTGTTTCCCACTCAAATTGGGATCAAAATAACAGAGGGAGATCCTTTTTATTGGTGCACAGAAGGGAAAGCTTTAATTCCCATTCAGTGCGCAAGTCAAAGCCACATTGAAACATGATTTATCGGTGGCACTGCAAAACTAGTAGTCTAAATTCCTGCAATCTTGAAAGTCGGTTTTAAGGTCAATTTTGCAGATTCTTATTCTCGCTGTCTGCCCCCCCTTTTTTTTTGTATTTGTGGTGAATTTCATTATTTTAGACACGACACTTCTTTTCTGAGTTGTTTTTCCTATTACTTTGAAAAATGAATGCAAGTGCCGAGTTAAGTGGAAAATTAAAGAATAATGTTGAATAAATGATGACACTTATAGAATCAGAATTACTAAAGCATCTTCTTGATTTAAAAAAAGAGTCCTATTCTAATTCTAGGCTGCCAGATTTCTAGTATCACTCATACCTCTGATGAATTCAATTGGAAGTATTTAACCACAAATTTATGGAAGTGCAATTTGTTAATGTAAATAACGAAACTTGGACAGTTTCTTTTTGCTACTAGGAGTAAATTAAAACATGCTCATTAGATGTACAAGCAGCAGAATGATTAAATTATGTTCTGAACTCTCAGTTGTACGGAGATAATACATATTGTTATATGAATGGATTTTTAACCTTTCACTTTCATATATTCTTGCTTTGGCCTTAGTGTAATTGTAATTGATTTCCTGTGTTTCTCAAAATAAGAGAAGAATATCGTGGTAGGGTTCTTAAAATTGGAAGTTTGCTATTCAATGATGGAAAATATGAGAAGTGTCATCTTGTGTGTATAATTATGTCAAATGGCTGATATTCACCAGTCATTACTTTCAGCATCTCTTTTTTTAGCAACGATAAAGACACGCAGTAAATGTATACATATTTGCACGCTGCTTTGTTCTTTTGCTTTGTTTGAGTTTGTTATGACGTGATTGTCAGTTTTGGAGTTTCTTTGATGCAGGGTGATCTGCTGAAGGTCAAAGTGAACAAACTGGCCTCTGTTAAAACCCAACTTCCATACTCCTACTATTCCCTTCCTTACTGTAAACCAGATAAAATTGTGGACAGTGCGGAGAATCTTGGAGAAGTTCTTCGGGGTGATCGTATTGAAAACTCTCCCTATGTGGTCAGTATTGCTTTACTTCATTTCTTTTAGGCCCTCTTTGATTTGGCAATTTTCCATGGAACTCGGAAATGAAATTCCATCTTCCACCAAAAGTCATGTTTGATTGGGGAAATTTTCTTGACAATTCATTTTCCATCTTTTGCCTCACATAGTTCCATTCCATGGTTTTGAGGAAAATCAATTCCCACCAATTTGGTGGGATTTGGTTTTCCACTATACTTTTTTTTTTTGGCAATTCCCACCAATTCTATCCTCAATTGTAACAAATTATATTTCTTTAATGAACAATTTTCATGTAAAACAAAGTCAAACGAATACCAAAAGATTCAAAATTTCAATATTTTCCATGTGGAAAATTATATTCCCAGGAAAACTAGGCAATTCAATTCCTTGGAATTTATTCTTTTTCCACCCAAATTCCACTCTTACAATCAAACGGACCCTTATTACTTGGGACAGAAAACTCAATACTCCCATCATTATTCATTTAAGACAATATGTAATACATCTTTTACATAATACAAAATTAAACTTCTCAGTCAAGTTTGTTATTACAGTTTAAAATGCGAGAGCCACAAATGTGTAATGTCGTGTGCCGTATCACACTTAATGCCAAAGATGCAAAGGAATTCAAAGAGAGGATAGATGATGAATACCGGGTGAACATGTGAGCCACCTTATTGAGGAATCTTATACATTCTAATATCCTTGCATTACATGACTTACTTTGAGTTTTGATGTTCTTTTAACAGGATTTTAGATAATCTTCCGCTAGTTGAGCCTTATAAAAGAGGCGACATGGATTCAGTGGTGTATCAACATGGTTTCCATATTGGTCTAATAGGACGGTATGCTGGAGTAAGTATCAAATTACTTTGTTTTTGAAGTTGCAAATTTCTTAGTATTACCTTTTTAATGAAAAGTTCAGTCTTGATTTCTTTTGTCCTCCCCAAATTCTTTATTTATAGAAAAAGGAGCAGAAGTATTTTATCAACAACCACTTGACGTTTACCGTGAAGTTTCATAAGGATGAGCAGACTGATGCTGCAAGAATTGTGGGATTTGAAGTCAAACCATTCAGGTAATGATTCTGATTGCTTAATTTTGTGCTTCAGACAGTTCTTGCCTGTTAATTGATGTTATATTCTCAATCTCATTGCTCATCCAGCGTTAGGCATGAATACGAGGGTAAATGGAATGATAAAACACGTTTAACGACCTGCGACCCCCATGCAAAACTCACTGTAACCAGCTCCGACTCCCCTCAGGAGGTTGAAGATAAGAAGGAAATCATCTTCACATATGATGTCGAGTTCAAGGTAATGATTTGTGTCTCGGTATGCATAAAATAATTATGCATTCATTTGTAATATTGATGGTGTTATATTGGCATATCTTGCTCCTCGCTTCACATTTGCAGGAAAGCGAAATTAAATGGGCATCTAGATGGGATACTTATCTTTATATGGCTGATGATCAAATCCATTGGTTCTCAATTGTCAACTCTTTGATGATAGTCCTTTTTCTCTCCGGAATGGTGGCCATGATTATGTTGCGGACCCTTTACCGTGACATCTCCAAGTACAACCAGTTAGAGACTCAGGAAGAAGCTCAAGAAGAAACTGGATGGAAATTGGTGCATGGGGATGTTTTCAGACCTCCAGCAAACTCAGATTTGCTTTGTGTTTATGTTGGAACTGGTGTTCAGTTCTTTGGGATGATAGTAGTTACCATGATCTTTGCTTCACTAGGATTCCTATCCCCTTCAAACAGAGGAGGATTGATGACAGCTATGCTTCTTCTCTGGGTATTCATGGGCCTTTTTGCTGGATATGCCTCGTCTCGTTTATACAAGATGTTCAAAGGAACAGAATGGAAGAAAATTACTCTTCAAACAGCTTTCATGTTCCCGGGAATCATTTTTGCCATATTCTTCGTGTTGAATGGTCTAATTTGGGGTGAGAAATCCTCAGGGGCTGTACCATTTGGGACCATGTTTGCATTAGTGTTCTTGTGGTTTTGCATTTCAGTTCCTCTCGTTTTCGTAGGTAGTTATGTTGGGTTTAAGAAGCCAGCTATAGAGGATCCAGTGAAAACCAATAAGATTCCGAGGCAAATTCCCGAGCAGGCCTGGTACATGAATCCCATCTTCTCTATCTTAATCGGAGGCATACTTCCATTTGGTGCAGTATTTATCGAGCTGTTTTTCATCCTCACATCAATCTGGTTGCAACAGTTCTATTACATTTTCGGTTTCCTCTCCATCGTGTTCATCATCCTAATTGTCACCTGTGCTGAGATCTCAATCGTGCTTTGCTATTTCCAGCTGTGCAGTGAGGACTACCTCTGGTGGTGGAGGTCATACCTGACCGCAGGGTCATCGGCTCTCTACCTCTTCCTTTATGCAGCTTTTTACTTCTTCACTAAGCTCAATATCACAAAACCGGTGTCTGGCATTTTGTACTTCGGATACATGCTTATTGCTTCATATGCTTTCTTCGTTGTGACTGGCACTATCGGTTTTTTTGCATGTTTCTGGTTCACGAGGCTCATCTACTCATCAGTGAAGATCGATTAGTGAAGCAATTTGAATTACAAGTGTCTATAGTTCCTCAAGAAGTGCATACACTCCTCGGATTGGATTTGAAATGCATGTCATCTGCCATTTCATGGTTTTGACTCGGGTTAGGTCCCGAAACTTGTCTTTTGTAGCTCTTTTCCGAGTTTTGAGTCTTTGCTTCTGTTTTAAAGTTTTCACTTTATTCTTTAGAAACCTTGTATGGAGACATTCTGTAGCAATAAACGTCGTTAGTTGTCCGTTCAGTTAATGACACTAATTCCTGTAAAATAGTAATTTTCCTTCTGTTACAGCTAAAACTATATGCAAGAGACTTAGAGACTGCTATTTTGTCACTACTTATGGTGAAATTTCAAGATGGTCACTTAAGTTTGTCCAATTTTATCACTAAGTTCATATTTCTTTCCAAATATATCACTCTTCCGTCGGTCACCATCCGATAAAGTAATTGTTTTGATGTGCAATAATATTGCGCTACTCACTGCTTGTAACCAACCTCTTGGATACATTTTGGGGTGACCTTGGTCGAGGAAATATATCACTCTTCAGTCGGTCACCATCCGTTAAAGTAATTGTTTTGATGTGCAATAATATTGCGCTACTCCCTGCTTGTTACCAACCTCTTGGATACATTTTGGGGTGACCTTGGTCGAGGTGAATTGGAGGGAAGAAGAGAAGGATTTAAAGAAAAGGTAGCAAAGGGTAGAAGTCTTTTTTGACTCGAAGGGTAAAGAGTAACCTTTGAGCTGATAGCCGCTCAGTGTTTGGACATTCAAATAAATTGTCTTTCATCAAATATCCAGATTTTCCCTCTAAAACAATTATCATGGTGAAAAAAATTGACGAACAGGAGATGCACCTCAAAAGAATACAAAAAGATAAGGCAAAACAACTTTAGAAGTAAACAAAATAAAGAATACAATGTTTGGTAATAATAGAGATCAGGCAAAAAATTACGTCATTTGGTAATAATAGAGAAAAAACAATAAAGAATACAAAAAGATAAGGCAAAACAACTTCCAGAAGTAAACAAAATTGTTTTGACTTAGTCAAAAGATCAAGAATCAGAGGGAAGGGGTGATTCTCTACCTGTCTTCAGCACGATTGATGATTGATAGCCAAGAGAATTCAGCGTTGCAGTTAGCATTTCAATTTTCTGCATCAAACAAATAGATTTTAAGTATAATGAATCCGAGGGGTAGCGCACTTGATCTTGAGTTTTCTTGATACATTATTAGATTTTACCACCTCAAATTATCACTAATTCCCACAGTGCCCCCTCTAACTTATCAATTGTATCAATAGTCCATTCATATTCGTGATTTTAAATTGACCATCGGATGGATATTCGAAAAGGACAAAAATGAAAAAGAAAGGAAATTCACCCTATGAAACTTTCATGTACCCGGCCAACCCACCAATTGCACCATGGCAACCACAATAAATATACCAACTCCTTCATTTTCTTCTCCATCACCAAAGGTAACATGGGACACCCTTAAAATGATAGAACCACCAAAAACCTTCATCTCAAGTTCTGCAACGACCTAGTGATACAACTGGACAACGAGTTACAGAACTCGGGCTCTAAGGTCACAACAGCTGTTTTGCAGATGAAACAAATTATATGCAACTGGAGGATGCTTTTACCCACTTTAATTAAAGTGTTTCCTCAAAGATTGCGTATGATATTGAGAATTTTATGGTTTACAAGTTTTCGTCGAGCTTTTCATGTGGTACCAGTGGAGTGACGAAAGTGTGGCTGGGTTGATGGTAAAACAATCGAGAAAAGAAAAGAAAGTGTCATAACATAAGAGTTAACCACGGCAAACCAGTGGCCATATATCAATTGATTATAAAAAAACACTGGATTAACTCATGCAATCAGTTGAGGGGGCACGAGGGGAATGAGTGGTAGTCCTTGGGACAAAGTGAAATTACCCTAAGTTGTTTAATATGAGATAACTGCACTCGAATAAATCAAACCTTTTTTACAATTTGAAGTTGCTGACAAATATATCCAGTGTCTAGCATTGCGAGCTCATCTGCGTGGCTCCTTTAAATTGTATCAAACAAGTCAGGTCCAATAAAAGCCAACGAAATTTAAGAAAGAAATAATAGCAATAACAATTTCACCGGACAGTTCGTTCTCTCACTTTGGCTTATGGATTCCATTAATGTTTTTTGAGTTGATCATCTTGAAGTAAAATTCATCTGGGTTCCTCAATGCCGCCTTTTCCTTCCTTGAGTTTCTACAGGGAATAACATCAGTGTAAAATATGAAACTTAAAAATCTAAAACACCATTTTGAAAACTCAAATAATGTTCAACTACAGGGTTCAAAAAGTTACCAGTATAGTCTCCTCCTTTTTATGAGAGCTTTTTGCGCGTTTAATATAATCCTTTTGCTTTTCAAGAAGTCCAAATTTTCTTCTTGAATGCCTGGTATAGAAAACACACGTTACAAAACAAACTGGGCTAAAAACCAAATAATGAAACAAAAAAGAAAATGTGAACATAATAACAAATAACTCACGGTTGAGCGCACTCTTCTTTGGATAGCATTCTTTCGTGACATCTTTGTAACCTACAACAAAGTTTCACTTCAAAATTCAAAAATAAAGAAGAGATGTTTAGAAGAAAACACACATCGGAGACATAAAGTAAGTTATAAACTTTGCTTTTCTGTAATTAATGACTGAGAAACGATTGGCAGATTCTTGATAGTAGCAATGACATTATCCCAATTAGACAAGCATAATGAGGTTATATTTTGGTTGAATATAAAGGTGTCATTCTCTAAACTTCCTAGAGGTGGTAAAAATTCAGTCCGGTTTTGTTCAGAACCCAACCAAACAGCTCCAAATCAATTGGCTACATGTGTAAAGAAGAGAATAGAACTCAGACTACCAGTTCCGTCTGATTCAGTTCTATGATCTAATTAACTGCAGAGTCTTCATTTAAATATAAATTAAACCTTCATAAATCTTTTGTACTAAACTTTACTCAAAAAGTAATTTTTCCCAAAATTATTTTTATCTTCAGTAGCAAAAGCGCTACGAACAATCGCTATTGAGTATATGATTTCCATATTTCAAGATTTATCATTAATGAATTCAATCTATCTATCTAATTGTATTTGAACACATATAAACACCCCTGGAGGATGAATTGGAACCGACTAACACTTCCCTTTAATATGATTGTCTTGCCCGTTCGCATTTATAATTTTTCTTTTTCTTTTTTAACTGCCATAATATCAATTGTATCCCCAAAAAATATGTAAGAAAATTATTCATCAATCTCAACTTTACAATAATCAAATTAAGGAGACTAAAAGAAACCTTCTGATTTTATGATTTCTTGGCTCCCTTTGAGGATAAACAAAAGCAAAATAACCAGAACTCGGAAAATTGACATATATATGCAGATTGCAGAGAAATCTAATAAGTGTATATATATATACTAGGTGCAAGCAACGTGCAATGCACGTTTGTCTAGTTTATATTTAATAGTTTTGTTTAAGAATTAATTTGTTATTAATAAAGATGTAATTTTTTTGGTTAATTAAATAATTAATGATGTAATGTTTATGTAATTGATAAATAATTAGATGTGTGATTTTGACGTCGTGATGTAAGTTGGTGAGATCGANATCACAAATCAATTTCCAACCGAAAAATTATGTTTCGATGTTTTAGTCTCATATTGAGACCTATTTTTGGTATAGAATCGAATTGGAGAATGATGTCTGAATCAAAGTTGTAGCCAGATGAGTTAGCTTTCCAACGCATTTTGAGTCGCTTCAATCGGATATCGGAATACAAAGTTATGATAAAAATACTGAAAGAAGGTGCAGCTACCTGTTTAAAACAAGAAATTCCGTTACATAGTCCGTTAAAACAACAAATTCCATTAGTTTTTTCGTTAAAAACAAGAAATTCCGTTACATAGCCACTTTTAATATATATATATATATAAAGAATCATTATACATTTAGGCACCTAGCAATTTTACAATGCCCAGAAGCACATTACATAAATTGCAGACAAACTGAAAAATAAATGTTGTACCTCAAAAATCAACAGCTTCCCCAAATAAAGAATACAAGTCTAGCTCCAAGCCTGAAGGTAAACAATGTGAACTGTGACGAACAGAAAAAAAAAAATCATAAAAAGAAAACAAATTTATGCATCAAAATACGATAAAATCATTTATATGTGAATTTTTTAAGTCGAAAAAAAGGAACTATTCGGCGAATTCGATGGAGAACTACACAGCTGGTGGCTTTTTTGTGTATTATTATTCTTCCTTATGTGGCTCAAAACCCTAAAAGCAATTGACAAGGATTAAGCAGGAGGACTCTGAGTAATGCCATGCAGCCTGACTGACGTTACAAGCTCTAGCCAGAGGGTCTACATAACATTACTCCTGTTTTTAAGGGTGCGGCATGGGGAAGAAATAAAATTTTTTTATGTTTTTTATTCGTTCACATGTTTATTTATTTTGCTAATATTATTTACTTATTTTTTTATATTAAAATTATATCATCAACTTTTTATATTAATTTTTGTATTCAAACTGTATTAATTAACAACCCAAAAATTCTTTATGGAGAGGAAAAAACAAGCCCGAGACTCACGATTTTTCAATAAGAAGTTCAGTTAAATTTTATCAAAATCTATAAAATTTAATTTTCATCGAAATCAAACATGAGCTAAATACAAATGTTCGAAAAAATATTTTCTCCACGACAATAAAATATTTCAACAAAAATCGTTGTGCTCGGCCCTGCTGCGATCTTAATTCCAAAGAACAGTGTTTTTCTTTCTTAATAGCTCATAAACCATCGAGGGTCCAAGCTGATGTACAACTTATAAAGTAGAAGGGCTAATTCTTTACATTTTATAAATACAAACCACAGAGGAAAGGAACCAAGAACAAGGGGACGAGACCAAATCAAGCATATTTAGTTACATAATGTCCCAATGAGCCACACAACGTTAACATTCATGCATAGACGAGTCGTTTATCAACATATAAGTTAGAACACAAATCAATCTGCATCGGCAGTAAAGTCGGGCTCTGGTGGCTTTTGGAGTTTCACCAATTCCCGAGCACTCTTAAGATTCCTATTTCTGTGTACTCCCCTGAGAGCATTTGCTGCAAATCTTGTTGCCAAGAACGTCGCGCCAATGCTATATGAGCCTCCACTGGCATTTGTGCTGGCCCTAGCTAACTCTTCGGCTGCTTCTTCCTTCCTATGAAGCTCCATAAGTTTCCTTTTGCAATGCCGCCTCCAGGCTGCTTGGATAAAGCACGCAGCCCAGGTCCTCCACTGCTGTGAATAAAACCGGAAGGTGTGTTGAACCTGTCTGCTGTGAAGCCGTCTGAACTGACCTGCAACAAATTTTAGTTCATCGGCTGTTAGGGCAAAAGCCTCAACCTCTGTCAATGCCTTCACTGTTCGAGTAGAAGACGGGAGGTTGGAACCGGATCTGGGATCAAGTGCCCAAGTTAGAAGCTCTTCACCACAAAAATCTCCCTCTTTTAGCATACTGCGGTTGAAAAAACCACTTCTCCCACCGTCCGTTGTCACACTTTCTAGACGTCCACGTATGATGAATAGCATTTCATCAACTGGATCTCCTTCTCGAACTATGTAAGTATTTTCAGTATATAGACAAGGTTTCAGTCGTTCACATATGGCGTCTAGCAATCTCTCGTCCATATTCTCAAACAGTGGAACCTGCAAAATGTTTGTGGTCACACGTACGCCACTCAGAAACTACTACATAATAAATCATGTATCTGTTATATCCACAACTTGTTCGAAAATTTCAAGGCACGCAAACATAACAAAAAAATAAGCAATCAGGAATTCCCCGTTTCCACCCGAGATCCCTTTCTTAGAATTTCCACTCGAGAAAGATATGCGTAAAAAATCAATCAAAGACGTGGAAGCAAACTATTAACAAGGTAATTACCCTCTTGACCAAAGCCAGACAAAGATGGCGCTTTATGTCTCTTCTAAGATCCTTTGGCAGACTCTGAACCAAACTCTCTTCATCTACTCCACGTGTTTCCAACCATTTGTATTGATCATACTTTCTAACCCTTCCCCTAAGATCTGGTGGGAGCAAGCGATGATGCATCCATTGCTCTGAGTCGCGCCTTTTAACTCTCATCTCCTCAAGTCGAATAGTAAGAGACTGGAGATACGTCTGTTGCAACAGAAAATAAAAACACCAAAGAAATAAGCAAATTCCATATTACTTTTGAGCAATGTTGTGGTGCGATATTCAAGATTGAAACTGCTTTGGATGCAATTACAGAGAGGTGATACATAAAAGCCCAAAATGTTCTTATTGCCAATGCACTTCAGGGAAGTCATGTTCCGCAAGAAGTATGTTAGCTATTCTCCCAGTTGACACATTTTTCGCGAGCATCATGAAACTTGAGCACTTACACGTTACTATTCCTCGTTGTGCTCCAAGGACCAAATATCATATAGTTACGTTATAATACTAAACGGTGGATAGGTGAGATAAATTTAGAATGTCATCCAATCCACTGTTTTGAAAGGAAACCTTAATACACAATTAAAATAAACATCAAAAATTGTTCTTACAATTCTTGACTACGCGTTAGAAAATCACCTTTGCTGAAGATCTTAACAGCAATAAGGGTCCGTTTGATTGCGGGGTGGAAAGAAAATGAATTACAAGGAAAGTAATTGCCTAAAAATTGTTTTGCAAGGAATTATTAATTAAGTGTGTTTGATTGGTATAATTTTTCACCCCGGAAAATTTTTAAATTTTGTGTTCGTTTGGTCTTCGTTTGCATCAAAATTGTCAATTAAAATGATAATTTTTTCCACACTTGGTTATAAAATTTGTTTCCATTGTCAAAAAGTAAAAAAAAAAAGTTTTATAAAAAATCATTTTTATAATAAAAGTTTAGTGTTCGTTTGGCCTTCATTTGCATCAAATTTGTCCATGAAAGTGA